CCTCCTATCTTTTTAGCTCTCCCAATCATCATCCCCGACTTCTGGTCCTGAAAAACACGAGAATTCACAGAAAATTATACGACAATTAGAATTTTTTGAAAGTTTGCTGACGGATAGAAGATTGCATTTGAGTTTCGGAACATGGAGTACAGATTTAAGACCTATACTCTTGGACAGGTTAATGTTTCCTTTTCCAGCAATGGAAGAGAAATTACCGTCAGCAATACGAACTTTTTCATGGCCAGAACATAGGATGTATGAATGAAATAGATAGTGTAAATTTGTCATATGATCAGAAGCTCCTGAATCAATAATCCAAGGGTTTAGTTGTCTACCTGTATGTACCATTGAACAAGTTGGGGTACCAGTAGTCAAACTGGGGTTTAGCAGTTTCAGGAGTTGATCAATTTGCTCTTTGTTAAATGGGTTGGTTTGTTCGGCAACAGCATTAGCAGTAGGTGGATTGCGCTTGTTTCTTGGATTCCAGTCTGCAGGTTTACCGTGGAGGTACCAGCAGATTTCTTTGGTGTGTCGTGGCTTGTTGCAATGATCACACCATACCCGTGATTTCTCCTCATTCTTCTGTGAATATGGAACAGTTCGCTTGCTGATATGAGTCTTCGATTGGAATGTCAAAGTCTCGGGTATGCTGATAGGAATGAATTTCTTGCTGAGCATCACTCCTCTTCGAGTTTCTTCGCGACGAACTTCTGAGAAAGCCTCATGGATTGAAGGCATGAGACTTCTTTTTTTTTTCAGAATTTTATCTCCTGCTCTGATACCATAAAACCAGAAATTGAAGAGAAAATTTTTATTTCTTCTTGATAATTCAATTCAAAGTGCATTTATATATAGGAGTCTCTCCTCCTTAGATAAGGAAACTAACTAAATAAATTCAAAGAAATTTCTATTACATTCCAAAACTAATTAAGCAAGATAAAAAATAAGGAAGTAGAATAATATCTGTAGAAAAGGAAAGACAATAAATATTGTAATTTGAATTTTGAATTTTGAATTAAATCCTTCAACAAATAGTCTATCACTGAAATCTTGAAAAAATAAATTATGTTAGATTCCTAATGCACAAAGGATTTTAGAGCAGATGGTAGCCTTTATGACATCTACCTATGCTTAGACTCTTTGATTTTGTAAAGACCTTTAAAACATCCAATAATTCATCTAAGATTGATATGGACGACATCTTTAGCCCAGAAAAAACTCACCCAATAGCCTTCTATAGCAGAGAACTAAAAGATCTCAAATAAAAAAAAAATACTCTACACATGATAAAGAGTTTTATGCCATTATCAAGTCCTTAAAACATTGGATGCATTATCAATTGTACAGGAAATTTATCCCACATATTGATAAAAATGCCTTCTAGTTTATCAACACCCAGCTAAGTAAATCTTATGGCAATGCAATGCATGAAATTTCTATAGAATTATTCAGTTGCCTTGAAATAAAATCCTAACCAAAATGATAGACCATCATTCTTAAAATATCAAACGCCTTTTTTAATAGGCTTAAAAGGGGAAACTTGGATATTCAATTTTTCATATCATTTATTTAGAGCATCTAGACAAAAGCTTAGCATTACAGAGCTCGTTTTCAGTGACCAAAAGCTACTTTTATATAGGAAAGCAATTGTGTATATCGAGATTATCTAGTGCAAAATTTCTTACAGCTGAGCTGTATTTTGGTGGTACAGCAGACCTCTTTGGCAAGGATTGTGAGAGAGATGTTCAAGGTTAATGTTATAATAACAAGCAAGCCAAATCCACAAAATAACGATAAGAAAATGCATTGCATTGCCCATTCCTTAAAAACTTTAGCAGGATTTATCAATAAATTTTATCCGAGGATTACAAAGGATTACAAGAGTACATGAAAACATTTTTATGATATTGGACTGATTCTGAAGGATGTCATGCCTCTTACTTTGCTCAAAAACACATAATGCATCCCTGCTAATCCTAAGAGAACAAAACAAAACGTAATAGAAAGAGATCACCAGCTGCAAGAAATAGGAAGAAATGGAATGACAGAGCCATACCCGGCCAAAAGCATTGTCATCGTGGCCGATGGAGACCAGATCTGCAACATCCTTCTTAAGACACCTCTCGATCGCATGCTTCTTTCTCCGGATTGTCTCCAGCCTGCACTTTATGCACTTCACCGAATGTTTGCTGCCACCAACACATCAACTCAATCACAAATCCATCAAACTAAAACCTACCCTAAAATCCAAAACCAAAATGTTTACCATTTGTTTGAGAACTTGGGGCCGAGAAGCATGTCGAACATCCTCTCTGTCTCTCTCGCAAGCTCACTTTCCTCAAAGAAACGGTAATGAGAAAAATGGTAGAGTAGATTGAAGACTCAATGCTATCATTAAAACTGAGAGCTCTGGCATTGTAGAGCCGTTCGAAGGGCAGAGACGAGCTCCGGGAAGCAAGAAGATGGACGGCGGCGAAGCAAACTGTGATCTGTAAGGGCAGGTGGGACAGCTAGGAGAAAGCAAGAGAAATTACACATGTACTGATAGGTTTAACACAATTTTTTATATTTATTAAAATAATACGTTAATTATATTATTTAAATATTAAAATGTTATATAAATAAGTATAAAACTTTAATAAAAATACCAGTAAATTGCAGATAAAGTATAGTATGAATTGTGTGCTATGTATGCAGGGGTATCAATTCCAGTCAGCGAGTCGGGGTAGGGTCCGACCGAAAAATGACTCGACCGGGTAGGGTCCACTCGAACCCAACTTGAATCATAAATAAGTCAAAAACTAAGATATAAACCCGAGCTTGAACCTCAAATTCAAACCAACCCGAAATTTCATGCTTATTCAAGTCAATTTTGCGTATTCGGCTCCACCTAGAACCCGTCCCGAAAAATAAATGTGTTAAATTCTCTGACTCTAACTCGACTCAAAAAAGTATTTGGGATAACCTTAACCCGAATTTTTCGAGTCATGTTGACACATCGAGTTAGTTTCCGACACTCTTATTTCAATCTAAGAGTTTATGCAAATGTCCAAATAATACAACTTTTTAAAATTAAATGTCGATGTGAGTTAAATACAAGTAAACAAGTTTAATATTTATTATATCAAGCAAATTTAACCTCCAATTTAATCTCGATTAATTTTTTTAATCAAAAATATTCCTTTCTTCTATTTTTTATTTTTTTT